AAAAAAGCGTTTTCGTAGAAAGACTAAACTGTAAAGAAATAAACGTTTCTATCAATATTCTTAAACAATTTTTGAAATGTTTACGGCAACATACTACTCGTTTTATTAGTATTACAATTTATAAAACCTAAATTAGACGGAACTTACTTGTTTGATAATCCATTGTTAATCGAAATGTTATTGTTATTTTTTGTTGTTTCATAATTATCAATTGCTGTACCATCGAAAAGAGCCGAAATTGTAGATGAATTATATTGATATAACATGTTTGAAGCATGTACAGCTGCTTTTTCAATAACAATTAATGGACGTTGATCAGTTCCATATTTAGGAGCCATTGCAATATCTCGTTCAATAAGTACTTTAACATTATCATGAAATCTCATTAACCAATTAATTTGTTCATCATCAATATATTCTTTAAGATAAAGACCATCACCAAATCGAACGATATTAACACATTCAGAACATAACTGAATGGCATATGATATTGCTTGACATAATCCAGCTAAACGAGCTAATTTGTTGCTACTCTTTCGTTGAAATGCTCGTTGTAAAGGTGTATAAATTGGACTTCCCTTGGCATCACATTGTAAAGATTTTTGATGTTCAGCTTCCATAACACGACGAATAGCATTGTAAGCAGAGATGATTGATCCATCTTGTTCTTTATCAGCTTCTTTAATGTCAACAATCACTTTTGGCTTCAAGTTTGATATTGGTTCAGTTGGTGAAATTGGATTCGAAATATTTTTTCTTGCTTCTTCAATATCTGGTGGAACAATAACTAGAAAGAGAAAAAAGTATAAATATGAATGCGAAATAAAAACATCATGAAAAACAATCCCAAATTCTATGTTTTTCAGATAAATTAAATAGTGAGTATTGTGCTACATATTGGATGATTAGTCGTCACTATCGAAACTCAATGTATCAATTAGCATAGCAGTATGAGAAGGATGTCAAATGGTTTCCTTAGATTACTCAAAATCTATAGTAAAATCTTGTATGTCACTCATTTAACAATCAGATACACACGTATAGTAAAGAAACTTACTTAATTTTGATAAATTAGGTGGTGATTGATGTTCACCAAATACAAAAACAGGCTTGTATTGTGCCAATAGACGAAGTACAATTAAAACATGTACGATGTTTGGTTGTACAGATAAAATTTCGGATGGTATATCATTTGAAGTTTTGTGAACAGATGTTGTGATAAATAAGTATCGACTGATGGTACCATCAGATGTAGTATTACTGTTATATTGTCGACATACAGATGATAACATGTTTCCTGTTGAAGCTCCAAAAATATTGATGGAGCCACGTTTAATAAAATATGATGAAGATCCAGTTGTACGAGAAACATTCTTCATAATATCATAACCTTGACATAAAAGTTTGGAAGCAATTGTTTTCATATCATTGTCCGTTGAGCCACCTTGATAAACTCCAAATCGAGTATTAATAACATCAAGTTCATCACTTGAAATAAATACATTCTCCTAAAATCAAAATATAAAAAAATTTAAATATATATCATCTACAAAGTGAATATTTCGACCACATATAGAAATAATTCTAACAAAATAAATCTCAAGAGCTTCATGATCAATTCTATACTAAAATAATTTTCACATGAATAACTTACTCGTTTCGAGAGTCGTTGAAATAATGATAATTCGGTCTCATTGTTTGCTATTAAATCACTTGTAGTCAATATTTCTTTTTCATTAGTAATCTCCACAATAGGCTTCGAAAAAAATGAAGGAAATCTTTTTTGTAACGCATTGATGCTGTTGTTGAAGACTCGAAATAATCCAGATTTATTGGTGCCTAAATAAAAGAATACTTATTTAAAGAAACGTATGAAAAAAATTAAAGAAACTTACCAGATTCACCAATTAAATTAATAAATAAATTCATTGATGTAATACTGCCAGTATGGTCAGGATTGTAAAGTTCCACTTCATCAAGCATTACCGCTGAATGTACTAGCATACCAAATACGAATGGAGCAATATCAACTCCTAATGTTTGATGTTGTTCGAAAAAACGAAGTAATGCTACTTGATCGAATGAACTAAAAATTGATGTGATTCCGAATGGAATTGGTGTTGTATTCGTCAGCTTGAAAATATTGGTACTGATTTGTGCTGCATATGGATCAAGTTTACTCGATGGCATATCTAAAAATAGGAAATTTAAATTCATCATTCATATAAGATAACATGTCGATAAAAAAATTGAATCACAACTCGATACACATCTACTAGCTGCTTATTTGTCAATATATTGCTTAATTGAAGGTTAATTGTAAAAGCATTATGTCAACAATAACAAAAATTTGAATATTCACTCCCAGTAAAAATTTAATAGACAAAAGAATAAAAGAATTAGCAAATTTAATGTAATAAATGTAGAACTAATTAGCCCAAGAGAAAATCTAAAAAAGCAAATATTGAAAATAATGATTAGAAATTCACATTACTTACTTGCTATTTTAATTAAAGATCAATAGATAAATTTCACTTTTTCAATGTTTAATTTTGTTATAAGTTTGATATTTTTTTAACTTTAGTATTCTTCAATTTAAGTAGTTTTTTTTCTTTAAAGATCAGAATTTTTTGAAATCTAAAAAAGAAATAAAATGAATATCTGTTCTTTCCGTTTGCTGCATATATATGTATATAAATTGTTTTCTAAACGCAAAATAATGCAAAATTTCCTACAGCAGTTTATCTTCAAGAAAAAAATTTACAAAACTCTTATTGCTACTGATGATTGAATTATTTCAAATTAACTGTCTTTACACTTATGGAATTGTGATAATTATTTACATATATAATGAACGTCCGTCATGTATATTGAATGAACAGAACGAAAAGAAAATGAATGGTTATCTCGTATGTGTAAGGAATTGAATGAGAAAAGAACGAGAAGGAAAGGAAAGAAAAAAATGTCTTTACACATATCATTTGCTCATTACTTATAATTAAGAGAAGGATATATCAAGAAAAAATAATTAACATTCTGATTTTTGCATCTTTTGTTATAATGTGATATAATGCGTTTTAACTTATTTTAATGGGATTTAATGTGTTTTAACGTATTTCAATGTGATGTAATGCATTATTTTCAATAATTAGTACAGAGGAGTATAGTTAATATGGATTAAGCTAGTAGACATATGATAGTGTTGAATTGAAACAAATTTGTATTGTTTTGGTTTTAATTTATTTTTAATAAAAAAAACAAAGAAAGAAAAAAAGAAGAAAACAAAATGACACCATTGATAAAAATTTAACATCTTTTGACTTGTACTTTAATAGAATAATTCTATAAGAAGTGTACAAAAATGAAAGAATATAATTCTTAACTTGATTTGGAAATGTTCTATTTATCATGTAAATTCAAAAAGACCCATAAATGACAAAATATACTAATAATTGATTATTAATTTGGGGCAGAAATTTCATTCGTTTATATAGTTATTGTCCTGTAAATATTTATCAATATAAGAATAAATATTCCATCTAAATAAATTACTTTATTCTTCTCAAATATTTTGCAAGTAATGTTTTATCTTTGAAAACAGTCAAATTTAAAAATATTCATTATTAT